CATGAAACTTGATCATAAAACGGCAAGTCATAGTAAACCCCAAAAATACCTTTAAAAACGAGTTTAATTATCATATGTATATTATTTTTAATGGTGAATTTTAAGTTGCTGATTTTTGATAAGAAGAGAAATTCATTTGAAAGCCTGCCAAGTTTGTCCTACTCCATTTGAGGTGGTATTCTGAGTATTCTATTTTTGGTAGCAATAGACTGCCCATGCAGGACGAAACGAGCTAAAAATGTTATGTATTTCATATTATCGTTACATCATCATTAATATTTCTTCGTAGGAGAAAATACTTTAATAATGAACAAGTCTCTTTTCAGCTTAAGGATACTAAGCGCAGGTTAATCCTCTACCTATTGTATATAAGTAGCAATTGCTTTTGCACCTCACTGTGGCCTGCTTGGGGCACGTTTGAAGTGAAATTAATGGGCACGGTTTCGGTCAGGGGCTTTGTCATTTAGCTTTCCGTGGAGTTTTTAGACGGTAATGTGCTCTCAACCTCACCTTATAAGAAGTAAATCCTGATCATAGGCATTCGCTCCACTTCAAATTAGGTGAGAACTCTGATTTAAATAAGAAAAGTCCCGTACAAATGACATGAAAGCATTTGGATTCCTCCATTTCCATCCATAAAGATGAAATTCTCCTTCCACTTCTACGAAACCATCGACAAGAAACGTTGTTCGGAGTTGACACCACACGGCAACACGAGACACCACGTAACACGTGCGACCGATTGATTTTCACAGACGTGTCAGGTGATGCGAGGAAGTGATTCACACGCCCAACTGCCAGACATGCTGAACTACGCGTTTCAATGCTTTCTGATACTTCTCGCACTTCTGCGCATTGTCGTCATTTCCGCCAACCAGTTCATCATCAACGGCCCCCAGCCGCTTCGTTTCGTCTTCTCCAGTTTTACTTACTGTATGGAAGGAATTATTTGCCTTAACTGCCTCTCTATTCTCCGCTGTGCTTCACTGTGAATTCACTAGCGTTGCAAACCACTGCATTAATAGGGGCCTCTTTTCGCACCTTCATCTTTCTTTCTTCAGCTTCTGCCCCCACCTCCGCCCTCGCCTCCAACTCCACCTTTACCTCCTTCGCCACGTCCACATTCTCCGGACCCTCTCCATTCTTCTTCTTGTTCTCACCTACATTCTTCTTTTCCTCAAACTCAACCATCATCTCCGTCTCGTCCTCCTCCTCCTCCTCCTTCTTCCCCTTCT